AGGCAGGATGCCTGGTGGGGAACTTGAGGCCTCTTTCAGATTTGAAGTCTGTGAACAGAAATGGAATGAGAGAACCTGAGCTGAACTCAAATCTAGGACTTGGGCATCCAGTGAGCCTTTTCTGACCACTGCTCCTAACAGACAATAAACCTTGAACCTTCTTTTGGTTCCAGTATTGACGATCGTGTTATCTTTCCTAATCAGTGGAAGCGACTTGTGCAAGTAATCGATGAGCTTCATGGTTAATTTGGTTCTTCTCCTCACCCTACTGGACACTTGAGAAACATCTGCCTTAGCTGACATCTCCCTTCTCTTGGTAAAACCGCCTGGTTATCCCTATTCCAGCCCTTCTTTATCAGTCTTGAATGGTTCATCTTCATTTCTTCTTCATTTCATTTCTTCCTGTCTCAGGGCTCAGAGCTTTCAATTTTCTCATGTAGATTTACTGATTAGTTTTCTCATCTCCTTTCAATATGTAATACCCTCATATACACGGGTGACTTTAAATTCCTACATCCCGCCTGGGTCTCAAACCTGAAATTAACACTCCCATTTGTACCTGTAATAGGTCATTGCAGAGGCCAGAGAGACCCCACCTGGGTTCAATTCCTGGCACCCCATATGGTCCCTTGAGCTCTGTACGCAGAGCCAGGAGTAAGCTCTGAGCATAGCAGGGTGTGCCCAAAAGAAAAAAGAAGGGGCTGGAGCGATAGTACAATGGGTAGGGCGTTTGCCTTGCATGCGGCTGACCCGGGTTCCATCCCCGGCATCCCATATGGTCTCCCAAGCACCACCAGGAGTAATTCCTGAATGCGAAGCCTGGAGTAACCCCTGAGCGTCGCTGGGTGTGACCTAAGAAGAAAAAAGAAAGAAAGAAAGAAAGAAAGAAAGAAAGAAAGAAAGAAAGAAAGAAAGAGGGAGGGAGGGAGGGAGGGAGGGAGGGAGGGAGGGAGGGAGGGAGGAAGGAAGGAAGGAAGGAAGAAAGAAAGAAAGAAAGAAAGAAAGAAAGAAAGAAAGAAAGAAAGAAGAAATAGGGCATCACAAAGTTAAGATGTGCGATGCAGCAACTTCTTCTGCCTCCATTTCTACCCCAGCTTTTCCTTTCATAGTGTTTGGTTGTAGCTGGGGTTCCACCCCCCCCACCCCGCCTTTCTTTGTCTCAGTAATTGACAACTTCACACTTTGTTGTATTCAGCCAAAAAACCCCAAAGCTTTAACTGACTCCTTTCTCTCAGGCTACACATCTAAAACCTACCGGCTCTACCCTAAAAACATACCCAGGCCTACCCAGGTTCAATCCCTGGCACCCCAAATGAATGCCATGATCCTAAACTGCCTCCACATCCTCAGATGAAACAACTGCTCATTTCTTGAAACTTTCTTTTTCTGAACCCCCTCCCTTCCTGATTCAGGTTCTAGACTTGCTAGTCCCTAAATATTCTAAGTATGTTCAGTGTTTTCAGACTTGCTATGTCCTCTACTTCAACTGTGTCCTTAAGACACCCATTTGTTTTTTCAAGACTTAGCTCCACTATCAGGTCTTCTCTGATCTTCCTTTTTAAAATTACAGCCCCTCCCCGCCCCATGCATTACTTCCTTTCCTTGATTTACTTTTCTCCATTCTACTTAATACTACTTAATGGATTCTATCTCGTTTGTTTCACTTAATTTTGCTCACTTCCCCCAATGTTAGATCCCTGAGAGCATAGATAAGTGTCTATTTTATTCTCTCCACTAACCCTAAGGCAGTGTCTAGCATACAAGAAATAGATATACTTTATTGGACAAATAATATTCAGTATATTATAAACTGCATTCTGGTTTCATGTAGTCAAATGTCATAATTTGAGGCTGGGAACTCAGAACCGCACACATGTGAAGTATGTGCTCTGCCATTGAACCACATCCTCACCTAGCACATAAATAAAACGTTTCCCTCATCAGCTTATGAACAGTTTAAGGAAAAGGTTGGTTTCGTTGTATGCAGCTGCCACTTTCCAATGCCTATCACAGGGTTTTCCATACAACAGATGTTTCACATATGTATGTTTGGTTTTTGGCCACACCCAGCAGGCTCAAGGATCACATGGTGCCAGGAATCAAATCCGGGTCTCCTGAATGCAAAGTTTATGCTTAGCCCATTAAGCTATCTCTTTGACCCTGATAATATATATTATATATTTATAATAGTATGTAATATACATTATATAGGTGTATATTATATATAGCTATATTATATAGTTATTCATAGCATGGTGAAAGCAAAAACTCACCCAATTAAGTTTGTATTAAGAAATCAAGGTGGTCTGGGAGAGCTTACTCATGCTGAAGACAGGTGTAACAAATACTGGTATCTGTGCCAGGTCCCCTCAACCCACCTGCTGCTGACCTGCCAACAGATCCCGGGGCACTGATCCTGCATCTGCCCTCTTCTGGTTCTGGTGGCAAATACATTAACATGTTGACCCCAGTGAGTATCATCCACTGGCTCATACTTTAATGTGGTTTAATTAACATCGATTGTAGGCCAGTTTCAACGTGTTCAAGAATATTCCCACCATCAACAGGGGTGGAGTGGAGAGATGAATACCCCAGCCTCCTCAGTCTCTGGTCAATGCTGCCTGAACAAGATGGTGTTAGCAGTGTTTAGTATGAGGTGCTCTGAGCTGCTGAGTAGTTTTTACAAGTCAAAGAGGCCCTCACACATAAGACCACAACATTACATGGGATTTGAAGAGGTCATCTTAAACCATTTACTTTTGGCATCTGGCAGAATTTGGCATCTAATAGGTGGTTAGTGGATGATTGGGAAGTGAAAAAATGTATTCTTGTAATAGTGGAGTTAGAAAATCTTGAAAACTTGCTTTAAAATGGTGATTTGAGAATTTATGGTCTTACACACACACACACACACACACACACACACACACACCCTCGACTTTCCAAGGAAGTTTCTTTCTCCTCTATTTCCTGAAAGTTGTGGGCACAGCTGTCCATTAGTGCCCTCAACGTTGCGGTGCGAGAGGTTAGTCCAGCTCAGCCCACTGAGATGATTCAGGAAAATCTCATCAGGTACAGAAACCCGAAGTCCCACTTCCCAGTCTGCTGTCCCTTTTCCACAGTAACCCTGTGAACATTCCAAGAGAGTAATTTTGGAGGCTATCAACCGTGAGTATTTTCTGATTCAATTTCAACCCCACTGCAGAAAGCCTGCCAAAAAGATAATGGGGATGAAAAGTGCTCTGTAAACCGTAAAGTGCTCGCCTAAGGTTAGCGATCAAAGTTGCACTGCCAAAGTCAACAAACCCAGTGTCTGTGCTGAACAAGGTGAGGACAGTCCCCTCAGGGAGCCCCTTTAGTCTGGAGCAGTGTATATACAGGGACCTGACGGTCACAGTGGCTTGTCTCTGCGCCCCTCCTTCCATCCTCGCCCTTGAAGTATGATACTCGAGCGCCAAATAAAATCAAAGCTTATGTTAGACGGATGAGTTCTTGACGGTTTTCCCCTTTTGCTTGGGTTCTGGGGCCCCAGGCTGAGCGCAGCCACCTGCATCGCTGGACAATGGGGCCATCTCTCCGGGGTTTCCAACCGTCTGGGAACATGAGTTTTTCTTGCACATTAGTTTACATTTGTCCCAGCTGCATTCACATTTAGATTCTGCACATACTCTGGCTCTCCAAACCACATTCCTCTGCCCTCACACTACCTCTTTGTCATCTGATGACTGAATAAGCATTGTTTCCCTGGCTTGGCACTTGGGAAGGGATCTTGATGAAGAGTAAACTTCACATTTTCTAGGTTTCCTAGCCTAGCGCCCAATGTGAGAAGGGCTGCCCCGTGTTTGATGACCTCCTAGAACAGGCTAAGGAGCTGGATCCGGGCCAGGCTGGAGTTGAGTCCGGGGATAAGGAGCCGACTGTCAGAGCCTTATCTTGGCGAAGCTGAAAGGCAGAGCCGTCTTTGTCCTCAGCCCTCTGCCTCGTGCCCAGGCATCTTTTCTTAATCTGCCGCCAGTTAATGGGTTTCGGTGGTGGCCATTCATTGCTCAGAGCTCTCATTCAATGGCTGTGCACGAATCCCGTCTCAGATGTTCTTATACTTAAGGGCTTGTAAAACAGTGTGAGGAAGATAGGAGATAAACTTACAGAAAGTCTTCTGTTATAGGCTTGGAAACGGCTGTGTATTAATTCCTCCACTGTAATAGGAGTCTTGAAAGGCCCAAATGAAAGGTACAAAGGGTGAAGCAGGAACACAAGAGGTTTCCTACTGCACAAAGCCCTGCCAACCTTTTCCTTCCATGATTTTCCCCAGTGACACACATCCAGGAGGAAGGGATACACTTGGAAGCAGGGCTTTTACTGATGCATGCTGAAGAACAGCAGGCAAGAGGTTGCTACGTGGCTGCTTTTTTGTTTGGGGGGGACCACGCCCGGTGGTGAGCAGGGCTTACTCCTGGCTTTGTGCTCAGGTCAGGATGTGGTTGCTTTTTGAGGGGCCAACAACTAGGAAAATGTTTGGATCAAACCCTGGAAGGGAGGAAATAAATCCTTTCACATTTTTCAGTTTTTTTTCCAAAGTTCCCAGCTAAGAGGCTGATCGGCATTCTTGATCTCCATGTCTAGTCTAATTAATAATCTTTCACAAAATTCATCCTCTAAAGTAAGTTATAATTTTGTTTTGTGGCCACATGTTGATAATCAGGATAAACTTCTGGCTCTTGGTGCTCAGGGGACCATATGGGATGCTGGGGGTTGAACCTGGGTCAGCAGTATGCAAGGAATTTACCCTCTGGACTGTATCTCCAACCCCAAAATGAGCAATAATTCTTTTTAAAGGTTTCTAGATGAAGCCAAAGAGCAGCTAGGCTACTTCTTCCAGAAAAGTGTTCCCACAGAGAAGACAGAGACACAGAGGAAGAAAGGAGACACCCACGTCAGGTGGCTTCTGCACGGTTTACAAGCAGCCCACAAAGAGCAAGAAAGAGGCGGGGTCCAGACCCTTATTAAACTGAAAGCAAACTTCTTTATTGTACACAGTACAGAATATAACGCAGCTTGGCAGGATGCATACAGCCCTGCGCAGGGGAAAGTACTTCAAATCAACTGGCAGGTTAAAAGCCCTTCAGCACTGTAGACTTTCCACACTCTGGAAAAGAAGCAAAACCCAAACCCAAACCCAACCCCCAAACCATCCAGGAGGTGTGTGAGTCCAATGGGAATGCAACGGTGATGCCACTGTCTAGTGTCCCGTGATGCCCTGTGGGCCACAGGGTTCCAGTGGGGGAAGGAGGGCGCAGGCTACGGGATTATTTCCATATTCTCTAAAACAGCATAAACCCATCAAAACAACAACAAAACCACCAACCAACCAAAAAAACAAAACCCCAAACCGGTATAAGAAAGGGGGAAAAAAAATCCTATACAGCATTTACAACAAATAAATCTCGAGCCAGCTGGGGGTAAAATATGCATCTATGTATAGACTATGCGTAGTTTAGGAAGCTATAAATGCAGTTTGGAAAGAGTCCTTTGATTAGAGTACAATGCTAATTAAGGCCCAAGCTTTAGGCTCAATACCTTTGTGGGCTAATTAGCGACCAAGAGGAAAACCTTATGTTTCCACAGCTATAAAAAACCAAAAAAACAAAAAAAACACGCACCCCTTATCTCTGTTGACGTCTTTGCAAATGTGCTGCTGGTTCTGAGGGGGGCCATTGGAGATTACGGAGTGCTCCATTAATAGCAAGAAAATTCAGAGCACTGACTTACACATAACCTCCCCTCGTCAGCTCTGGCCTTGGGTGCTGAAGACTAGCACAGCCTTTCAAACCCGTGCTAAAAGCGGCTGTGCTCGGGATTCTATCAGCAGAGCAGGACAAGGTTCCAACACCCTCTCTACTTGGAGCTCAACTTTCATGTAGCTTTAGCTTGGTTGTTTCAAGAATGTTCCCAATATAATACAGTAATCAACAAAACTTTTTTTGTTTTTTTTCAAAAGGTGGCAGGAAACTAAAACGCTAGCACTGTTTTATCAGTCAGTGTCACATGTAAAGTCTCAAACCCTATTGAATCATATGCAGGGTTTAAAGTCCAAGGATTAAAGAAAAGGAGGAAAACGAAACAAACTGGATGAAATGGAAATTGTCATCCATCATGCCCAGGAAGGAATCCCGAAGGGTTCCACCAGGTTAACAGGTTGCAAATGGACATGGCATGTATTATGTACATATGCTTTCCAGAGAGGGCATGTTAATGAACGAGGGGAAACTATACATATAGAATCTAAGTGGTGTGCCCAGGAGGCCTCCGGCACACCTAAAAAATGTACAACTCAGGTGCAAATGTGCCATCAGGCTGTCTGGTGCAGAAAGCACGAAGCAAGCAATGAAGTGGGCTTGTTCATGGCCCAGGGGCAGCCCCCAGCAAAGCCCCTTGCAAGCTGCAGTGTCTTCGTAAGTCAGCACTGCCCTGTCTAAAGGATGCAGTGCAGTTACCAAAAGGTGTGTGTGTGTGTGTGTGTGTGTGTGTGTGTGTGTGTGTGTGATACTTTTTTGCTTTAAATACCAAAACTACAAAAATCAGTTTATAAACTGTTTATCCCCCCCTAAACAACCACCAAAACAAAACAATCCCCTGAATCAAAGCAAAACAAAATACTGTCAGAAGTGTTCCTCACCCTTCTAGGCTTAAAGCGTTCACATGGAGCCCTGATACCGGGAAGAGAAAGGGGGCTTAAGCCTGGCCAGATTCCCACACGAGAATAGCAAGGGTTTATCGCTGAACCAAGGCGCGGAGGACAGCTGTTTAGATGACCCCACCTTCCTTTCAAGACCGAGGGAAAGCATTTCTCTATTCGAGACAGAAAAGTTCTCCACATTTTAAGATACCTTTTGAACCCTTCCTCGTTGGGACTTCCCCTACTGAGCCTACCTATGGTTCTGGGGGACCGGGGGCAGGGGGAAGTGTGATTTCTTCTTCAATTGTGCAAAATCCGAGCCCTTCCGTGTAAAGGCATTTAGTAGTCCATGATCAAATGCAGATTGTCACGCACTCTTTGCCCGTGGGTGGGCGACTAACCTGAACAAGGTATTGCTTTGCATATATTGTCCATGGGAAGGAGGTTCCAGGTCAAGCTCTTCCCAGAGACCTTGTAAGGATCAGAACTGGGCCTCCCTGTTCCCACTCCCCGGCCAAGGTCATCGGTCTGTCTGGGTGCCACTAGAGACAGCTTGGGCTCTCCACCTCACACTCAAAGGGCAAGCGTTAGGAACAGCCAGAAACACGAACAAAACCACTGCCCTCATTTGCCTGAATGGGAACTGCTAGCTCTAGGGTTTGGCTGCTCGGCCACTCGGGAACTTAATAAGCGAAGCCCTCGGCGTAGGGGAGGCTGCCACAGCGATCCATGTCAAGGAGGTAAGCGGGATTGTCTTCAAAGTGGGTCAGAGGCAGGGTTTCCTCCTCGTTGAGGTGGCACTCGGACTCCGCCTTCAGGAACGGACGCTGGTTGTCGGGGAAGGCCATGGAGAAGAGGGCGTCTGGGTCGCAAACAAACTTGTAGACGTATCGCTCCCCAGCGACCTGTGACGAGAAACACGATGGGTGAGGTTGAGCCGGATTAGGGCACAGGGCCCGGGGACCAAGGGAACGAGAAATACCATGCTAGGATGCCACAGAAGCAAGGAAGTTCTTTAGTGGCTAATAATCCAAATCATCACGGATTTTTTTGTGTCAGAGTTTGAGAACCTGTTACGACTGACCTCACAGCTCAGCAATTGAAAAAGGCATTTAAATTTCAAATTCACACTAGATAGGTTCTTTCGTTTATTTAAAAAAAAAAAAAAGGAAGGGCACATTCAACAGAGCTCAGGTATTTACTCCTAGCTCAGTGCTCATAGATCACTGCTGGGAGACTCAGGTGGTGTAGACTGAACCCAGGTCAGTGCATGTAAGACAAGCACCTTTGCTGTACTATTTCTTTGGCTCAAAGGATTTTTTTTTTTCCTTTTTGGGTCCAAGCACCTTCGCTGTACTATTTCTTTGGCTCAAAGGATTTTTTTTTTTTTTTTTTTTTTGCTTTTTGGGTCACACCTGGCAATGCACAGGGGTTACTCCTGGCTCTGCACTCAGGAATTACTCCTGGTGGTGCTCGGGGGACCATATGGGATGCTGGGAATCGAACCCGGGTTGGCCGTGTGCAAGACAAACGCCTACCCACTGTGCTATCGCTCCAGCCCTGGCTCAAAAGATTTTTTAAAAGATACTTAAATTTCCTAAGAAATAAGGAAATTTCCTCTCTATCCCTTAGCTGTGATGACCAGAGGTTATACACTCTCAGTTGCCATGCTCACACACTTTAGCTGTGGTGTGCATATCATATACAATCGTGGTACTGGGATCTGGTGCTGACATATGGGTCAGTATTAGGGGCTGAAATACTGTCCTCATAATCACAAGGCAGGTAGCTTTTGTCACTTGAGTTATCCCCAAGGTCCCTTGATAAGTTTGAGGAAGCACCCCCAACTGGTGCGCAGGGGGTCACTCCTGACAATTCTCAGCCACCCAAGTCAGGAGTTTAATGTTAGAACTCTGTGGCATCAGGGACCCCTAGAGCCACATCTGGTGGGAGCTTTCAGGGCTGCACCCAGTGATGCCGTGTGGGGACCAGGTGGTGGCAAGAGTTGAATCAGGGTGGATTATGCATTAGCCCCTGTATTATCTCTGGGGTCCCTAGAACTATTCTTTTAAAAGAAAAAAAATCTTGGATTCCCAGATAAGAAAAAACATAACGCTAGAGGTGTTATACAAAAGACTTTAAAGTGGTGGTGGTGAGGGAACACATGACAATGGTTCATGTCTCATTAAAAAAAGGAAAGAAGAAGAAAAGATAAGAGAGCAGGAGAAGAGTGGGGAGGGGGAAAAGTTACAGTCCAAAAGTCAGCCCACATTTCAGTTACTTCCAAAGCTTGCTATATTCACAATTTGGCTTTATTATTTTGAAACGCTAAGAGCTTGATCTGAGAGCTCATATGGAAATTTTAAGTTGTTCCAAAGACAAATGGAATTGCTTTTTGGCTTCCTGGCAGTTTTGAATTACTCATTCCATGAGTAGCGGAGGCTACATTAAAGAAATTGACAACTACCTTTATAGGAATTTTATACTGTATTATAGAAACCAAAGATCTTAATCATTCATAGACTTCAGGATTTAACTGGTAAGCCACCAAGGTCAACTACCTTCTCTGCTACTTGTGTGAGGAGCAGTACAAGAGGATGAAACCCAGTGATCAATCAAATCTGATAATCAAACCTCGTAACTGGCTTTGCTTGAGAATGTAGGTAAGGCAGAGTGGCTAACACTACTGATAACAGTTTTGAAATGGTAGGTTGTATCTTGCCCTTCATATTCTTCTGTTGTGAATGTCAAATGTCTTTAACTAAGAACTATGGCTTTGCTTCTCTGACTCTTGAGTTTAAGAAGTTTTATTACATGGTGGTGGGAAATGTACAATGGTCGAGGGATGAGTGTTGGAACACTGTATGACTGAAACCGGACCATGATGAGCTTTGTAACAGCATTTCACGGTGACTCAATAAAAAAAATATATATATATACAAAAAGATAAGTTTTGCTTACAATGGTTATCCCTAGCCTTAAAACTGATTTTACGATAAAGGGTGTTGAGAGGTTCCTCTCAGGATGGAAGATGTGTGATGAGAGTAGACTATGGACCGAACATGATTGCCACTCAATGCCTCTTTTGCAAACCACAACACCCAAAGGGAGAGATAACAAAAGGGAATGCCCTGCCACAGAGGCAGGGTGGGATGGGGGGGATTAGGGTGGGAGGGATACTGGGATCAGTGGTGGTGGAGAATGGGCACTGGTTGAGGGATGGGTATTCAATCATTGTATAACTGAAACTCAAGCACAAACATTTGTAAGTCTACAACTGTACCTCATGGTGTTTCACTAATAAAAATTTAAGGGGAAAAAAACCTGATTTTATAAGAAGGGACCACTATGACAATGATGGCTGGAAGTAATCACTTGGAAGGGAGATGCATACTGAAAGTGGGTTAAGGGACCAAATATGATGCCTCTCAGTATCTGTATTGCAAACCATAATGCCCAGAAGGAGGGAGATGGGGCAGGGGGAGGGGCAAGGGGAGGGAGAGAGAGATGGAGGAGGGAGGAGAGAAGAGAGAAAGAAGAAAAGAAAGAAGAAAAGTGCTTACTATAGAGGCAGGCTGGAGGGGAGTTATGGGTGGCGGGAGAAACACTGGGGACATTGGTGGTGGGACAGATGTTGGAACATTGTATGTTCCAACTCAATCACAAACACCTTTGTAACTGTGTAGCTCATGGTGACTCAATAAAAAAACACAACAACCTGATTTTATGGCGACACTTAGATGTCTGGTCACAAGAACATGGGTGTCTGCACTAACGCTTCTTAGAACCCAACACTAGGAGCTGGGGGCGGGTGGATGGGATCTGTGTGCTTACAACGAGTTGATTCAGTATCTTCATCAAAGCAAGTACCAAGTGTGGCCGGCAATTATTCTTGTCCCATTTTTGTAAGTCACAATCCTATGTTCAGTCTGGTTCCTCACCCAAAGAGTCAAGTCCTCAGTGTGGAGGCACGAGGGCAGGAGATCACTGACCTAGCTAGGTCAGAAGCCAGGGCTAGAGGGTGCCCAATCCCGATTCACCACACACCAGTCTGAACACCTCCGTGAACCTCAATGGACCCATTTTTCCTTTCAGAACTGGATGGCTGTAAGTCTACATCTTTTCTAGGCCCTTTCCCAGACTTTCAGTCTCATTCACCTTTTCTTTGTTCTTTTTGTTTTCTGGGTCACACCCAGAGATACAGAGGGGTGACTCCTGGCCCTGCACTCAGGAATTACTCCTGGAGGTGCTGGGGGACCATTTGGGATGCTGGGAATCAAACCCCAGTTGGCCGCGTGCAAGGCAAACGCCATCCCCACTGTGCTCTCTCTCCAGCCCTCATTGACCTTTTCTGTGGTTCTCTTTTACTCAGGCACCACACAATAGAGAGAATGGTCACCTCTTTCACTGTGATCATTTCTGGAACCTCCTTTACATGATGAGCTTGGAACAGCGATTAGAATCCTCATGATTTCTTTGCTGTTGTTGAAAAGAAAGGTTCTGGGAGGCTAAATGACTTTTCTTTGCTTGTATCATTCTAAGAAATAACGTTCTCCTTTACTTCCCTTGAAAATTCAGGGACCAGTCAGAGGGACAATTCACTGCCATTAGTTCAAACACTGTGTCTTGGTTACATTCCCTCAGACTGGATATGGAGTTGGACATAGCAAAGGAATAACGGCTCTGTGTGAATTTAGAGCTTAACCTGACAACACCACTGAGGAGAAAGTTAAGTTGGGGAGGTGGAGGGAGGTAGGAATATTTGGGGGAAATGGACATAACTATGAATGGGGTATGAGTTGTCTATTTGGGTCAGTAGAATGTTCTAAATAGCTGCACAGTTCTGTGAAAGCACTAAACACCAGTGACTTGACTCTAAAAAAAAAAAAAGGAGGCAGAGGCAGAGTCTCTAAGTAACTCTATGCCAAGCTCAGGTCAAATTCTCAGTACTGCTCCCGAGAAACTTACTACGGTGGCGGGGGGATTCTGCAGGTAATGAATGATTTGCAGTATCAAGAGAAGAACAGTGACAGAGAAGAACACAGGGGCAAGGATAAGCAGCAATGGTAACCAAGTAACTCAGTCTGAGGACTTCAGATTCTTGGCACGAGAAGGGAATTATTGAGACAGAAAACAAGTAGGGGCTTGGTAGGTAATGAAAGCATTAGGGATGTTCTGGTTCTTTGGTACTTTAATAGTCACATGCGTGCGTGCATGCGTGTGTGCATACGTGCGTGCATGTGTGCGTGTGTGTGTGTGTGTGGGTGTGTGTGTGGCGGGTGGGGGGGAATTGCTGTTGTAGAGTAAACTCAGGGTCTCACATATTACAAGGCAAGTGCTCTTACTGCTGAGCTGGGTCACAGGCCTAGTAGATGTCTCCACTGGGCGGTACCCTGGATTGCTGACTTGCAAGTGATACATCTTGCAAGTCATACTTGCAAATACCATCTTTATTAAAAGAAGGCTGATCACACGAGTGAAACAGTCAAGGATGAGCTAGAAAATGGGAGCTAGAAGCTGTCCATATGGGGCAGTTTTAGAGCACTACAATGCACTGAAAAGTCGAAATAGGGGCTAAAACCATAGCACAGAGGGGAGGGCGTTTGCCTTGCACACAGTCGACTGGGTTCGATTCCCAGCATCCCATCTGGTCCCCCGAGCACTGCCAGGAGTGATTCCTGAGTGCAAAACCAGGAGTAAACCCTGTGCATTCTCTGAGATTTCCAGCATCCCATATGGTCCCCCAAGCACCGCCAGGAGTGATTCCTGAGTGCAAAGCCAGGAGTAAACCCAGACCCAAAAAGCAAGTAAATAAATAATAATAAAAAAAGGTCAAAATATCCAGAAGACCATGCATGGAAAGCTACTAATATTTCTTTTTTTTTTTTTTGGAAGTGGTGAGGGGAGTGAGGGTTCACATTACTGCCCGCCAGTGAGAACGATAAACCTGGCTTCAGTCTAGGCACGTTCTTGGGAACAACAATCCATGTTTCTGCCTACCACACCTTGTTAATGCCCCCTCCCCCACCCCCCAGCCCAGGCTAGGGTCTATAGAACAGCACTGTATCAAGCTAGTGGCTAAGAAAGTCTACCAAGCACAAACTGCCATTCGTAGCTTCTGCTGATCCAAGGATTTTCAGGGTTCTGGTCCTCCACTACCTATCCCACGACAGGTTTGGTAACCAGCTTCCTCAAAAGACGCTTCATCCTTTATACTACAAAGAGCAACCCATAGCCAGGTACTTCTCTTGTCATTTTATAAACCTTGGATTTGTAACGCTTCAGTTTCTATAGGTTCTAGCACTGTACTGTTTGTAGCCCTATCTCCTGTTCATCGATTTGCTCGAGCGGGCCCAGTAACATCTCACAACAAATTGTGAGGCTTGTTGTTACTGTGTTTGGCATATCAAATACATCATGGGAAGCTTGCCAGGCTTTGCCATCCGCACAGCAAGATACTCTCGGTAGCTTGACAGGCGCTCCAAGAGGGGCGGAGGAATCGAACTTGGGTCAGCCGGGTCAGCTGCGTGCTAGGAGAACGTCCTTCCCGCTGTGCTATCGCTCCAGCCCCACACTTCCTATTTCGGTTCCACAAAAGTTACCTAAACTTCCGGACATCTTTCAGAAGTTTAACCAAAGCAGAGGAGCCTAAGTTTCCTGTGTGTCCTAGTTAGTGTGTCCTCCACACTAACTCTGGTTATCCTGCAACCACGAGCTTGAAAGGTGCACTTTAGATCTTATTTGACGCTTAGGTTGGCTCTTTCCAAACCTTTTCCTACCAGAGAGTCACGAATGAGGCGGACAGTCTTTGTGGAGAATCCCTAACCACTCTCTTTGACAGGTCTCAAAACCCCGTCTCAGTGCTCACCTTCTGCATAATGCCCTTTTCGTAGTAATAGCGGAGAGAGCGGCTGAGCTTGTCATAGTTCATGGCAGGCCGGTTCTTCTGGATACCCCAGCGCCGAGCAACCTGAAGAGACAGGAAAACAATGGAAACTCAATCCTGGGGATCTGGTGCTTTGCTCCCCAGGCCAGAAAAATCAGCTGTCACCTGACGGCTTTGATCAATGATCCATTTCCCTGACCTGGCAGAAAAAGCCTTTCATGCCTTCAAGACCAAACATTCCAGCAAGGTGATGACTCAGTCACAATTGCTAAGAGGTGAGACCTAGAGGTGGAAGAATTTTAGCGCTGCAAGATTACAGTGGGCTTGGCGAAGGTCCCAGAGGAAGCAGGCGCTCTACCGTTTCTCCACGTATGAATTATTGACCAATACCCATCGACCATTAACATGCTGCCATTAAGTGCTATGGTTTCTGTAGCAGTCAATAAGGGATAATTAGAATGGTCATTCCTGAAACATTAGAAACACACTAGTGAGTTGCTAATGGGTGAGCAGAGCAAAAGTTCAATTCTAATAAGATTGGAGAGGGGCTGGGAGTTGTTTACTTATTGCAGCTTGTGGGAGTAAGAGGGAATCAGATCATTTCAGCCCGCTACCATTCAATCCTTCGCTCCCAGCAGACTAGCAGAATGGACATTAAAACATGCAGCATCATTATCCACTTAATGAAAAATTAACAGGGCTTCCCAAACTGTGCTGAAGCGCATGATACCCAGCCCAGTCCACCTGAGGTGCTGTGAAAGGGTGAAAGAATTGGAGCTCTGGATAAAGAAGCCTTATAGCAAGAAAACTTACAATTATCAGAGCAACTAAGCAATATCCTTTTTTAGCTTTGGGGCAATACCCAGTGATGCTCAGGGGTTACTCCTGACTCTGCTCTCAGGAATCATCCCGGAGGTTCTCAGGGGGACCACATGGGATGCCAGGGATTGAACCCAGGTTGGCTATCTGCAAGGCAAACACCCTACCCGCTGTACTGTGGCTCCAGCCCCCACAGCTAAGCAATTTCTGTCTTTGACTATCTCAACATCCGAAATACTAGGAGAGTGGCTGAGGTGGTAGAAGAATACCTTCGGATATGTGGACCTTCTCAGTGGTATTTTAAATGTTTGCAAACAACATGTCATCTTTTTAACATTTTTTGGTCAGTTTTGGAAATCACTTTTTTAAAGAAAGCAAAATACTTTTAAAGAAAGCAAAAGCCCCAACCACTGGAACTTTGTAATGTGCCTATCAACTTGACAGGTAGAGGGTGGGGGTAGGAAGGGAGTCTGGGAGCACTGTTGGAAGGAGGCTGACACTGGTGATCAGATTGGTGCTGAAATATTCTATGACTACAACTCAACTATGAATAACTTTGTAAATCACAGTTCTTTAAGTAAAAGAATTCATACCAAAAAATTAAAAAGAACAAAGGATAATACTCGGTTGGCCTTTAAATAACGGGAAATAACGCCAAAATTAGAGTACATGCCTGGCATGTGAGAGGCCCCTCAGTTTGACCCCAGCACTGCATGACACTCCCTCCTCCTCCCCCAAGCACTGTGGGGTAGAGTCCTGTTCATCAGAGGGAATGACCCCCAGGTTCCTCAAGAACTGGATGAGACCCCTATGGTGGGGAGGGATGGAAAACATCAGATACTTCGGAATGTAAATAGCGAGACTGCAAATAGAAAAAAAGTAAATCATGAAACAGCATTTTCACTTCAAGTTTTTTCTTCAAGAATTTTGGTCCAAATAAAATCTTTTGAATTCAAGATTCTTAAACGACCTTTTATAAACACCAGAAATGATCTGATAAGGAAGATGGCATCCATCTAATCACATTAGGATAAATCAATAGTTAGAATTTCACTAAGGCACAGTGAGAAAACAGTGCCAGTGAGATTTTCCACTCACTTCTCCATGCCCTGCAGCCTACCCCCTGTACCCGGACCTCTGCCTTTCTCAAGAGTGCTCTCATTCCCCTGCACCTCTGACAGAGCTCCAAAGGCAGAATTACTAACCCCAAACTACACCTCTGGTTAGAAAAGACAAATAGGGGGCTGGAGCGATAGCACAGCAGGTAGGGTGTTTGCCTTGCACACAACCAACCCGGATTCAATTCCCAGCATCCCATATGGTCCCCTGAGCACCGCCAGGAGTAATTTCTGAGTGCAAAGCTAGGAGTAACCCCTGTGGATAGCTGGGTGTGACCCAAAACACACCAAAAAAAAAGAGACAAATATTTTAAGCCAGTGGACAGTGGAAAATTTGCTGAGGGAAGAAACTAAATAAATCCATCCATATACATCCTTTGCCCCGTTCAAAATAAATGACACTGAGAAAGGAGACTTCAACTGCTGTCAGCCACCAGTGATACAGGAACTTCTAAAGCAGCCCTGACGATCATTTTAGCCAATGTTCAGAAGCAGAAAACAAACCAGGGATAGTCTTCAACTGCCAGAGGGCACCTCTCTGACGTCCCCTGCATTCGCAGGAGCTCGCTGAGGAGAGGTTATGGTCCACGCACAGGTTTCTGAGCAGCGCTGGTAGCCATAGTTACTGACTCATCTTCCTGGGCCAGGGCCCTGTGATTCAGTAGCTGCCAGCCGGGCAGCTCCGACTTCAGCAAAGCATGAGGCTGCACAACTTCAGTGCCGCCTGGAATCAGGCAGCTGCCCCATTTCTGGGGTGAGGGGAGCATGCAAGAGCTTGTTCTCCCACCTGCTCCTTTCATTTCTCCTACCCAGTGCACACATCCTGGAAGCCTAGGGCTGAAGGAGTTAAAGGATTTGCATACCTCTGAGAGAGAGAGAGAGAGAGAGAGAGAGAGAGAGAGAGAGAGAGAGAGAACAGCCTGGGTATAGGGAGTGGCTCTTTCCAGCGGCCCATCCTTTGAAACCTCCCCATGGCATCAGTTATCTGCCACATGTTCAACAAACAACCCTACCCCCCAAAATATTCATTAATGCAGATTCATAGTTAAAATGGCTCCAGATTAAAGCCGAGTCAGTCATAATTGAGAGGGTGCTAAGCTGGATGACTATCAAAAGACATTTGATTAGGGGGCCTGCCAAAACGCAGTTCTAAAACCACAATTTCCATGCACAGTGTAATGGATATTATGGATAATTACCCAGAGTGCACTACTCAGCCACACAGCTGCCTACAATTACGTCCCAAACAGCTTCCTCCTCCGCTTCACCCTTCACGCTACCCCCCACCAGCCAACACCACCATGACAACGTCTTATAGCTTTTTCAAGGAGTTGGTAAGCTCCTGACAGGAGTGTGAGCAGGACCCACTACGTTACACAGAGAAACTTGATGGGGGGAAACTTTCCCCCGTGTTGTTGTGGGTCCCAAGGCCTGAGTTTACACGTCAAAGAGAACCAGTCCCTGACGAGGACAAAGGGAACTCTGGGGCTTTCTGGAAAGTCCTGGGGATTTCTAGCTGGGGTGGAAGGATGCACTTCCTGAAGAAACCAAGCTGCCGAACAGCTGGGAGAGGCTTCAGGGCACACAGGCCACTCCCGTGACTTGGCTGCTGGGCGGGGAGGAGCATTCTGGACTCATCCGAGGAGGAGCGCAAGGGCCCTTTGCCATCTGTTCATCATTTTCTTCTCCATAGTAGGAGAGCGGAAGATTCAATAACGACTCCACCGAAGGGTCAGAACCAGGTTTACCTGCCGTCGTACAGCCTGTGCTCACGCCTGGGGCAGTGGCAATAAAGTAATAAAAGCTCCTGTTTGTGAAATGAGGTAACTCAATAAGGGCTGCCCACATGACAGATTGACTTTCAGGAGGCCTCAGTGAATTGAGGGAACACGGTTTTCCTCCTCCTCGAGACGTATGGAAACCCAGCCACATTACGAGGAATGCAGTGAGGAAATGAACGTGGGGTAGGTGGCTCCCCAGGGGTAAAATATGGTTCCATTCTGTCCGAGACACAGCAGCATAAAGGCCTGGCTCTGAAGGTACGTGTCCCTGGCAGACACCGGTGACAGAAGGCTCTGTGTACCCACGGCCACTTTCCTATGTGACGGGGAGCAAGGCCAGGGAGGTCCTTAGCCCATGTTCCTCCCTAACTGTCTGAATTTTCTCCCCATCAGAAGTCTTCCTGCATTTCCAATGCACCCGCTCTCCCTCTTCATATCAACTTTCAGACCATTTTCTCCTTCCAAACTGAAAGCCAGGTGGTGACCTCCCCTACTGCTAATCCCTGCACCTCCAAAAAAAATCCTCCTTGGTGTGCTAAGTTGGGTTGCAGCGCTCATAGAATAACATCTAAAACAAACAGCGTGCAAGCCAGTGTTTCCGTTTCGATGACACCCAAAGACACCTTCCAAGCACACGGTTCTCACGTCAATGACACCAACCTAAAGACCCCTTTCGCTTTGCTGGCTTACTGCACATGGCGTAAATCACACATTAGCCAAAGAAGCCTATGTTCTAGATTTTCAGGGCCTACTTTCAGAGCTTCTGTGTGCACTCTTGCTAGATTCCAAGTCAAACAGAATTTTTTTAAAAAAATCAGCCCTGATTCCTATGCTAAATCAAGAGCCTGACTTAAATTTATTATGTGACATGTGGAAAGGGATTCTTGGATGTATATTCCAGACTGAATTCTCATTCAGTATGAATTCCGTCTGCCCTTCATTTCTATGAAGGGTGCGAGGCAAATAACCATAACGTTTCTTTTCTATTACAAAGTAGTAAGTGGGCATGTCACTCTCAACAACCTTGATGCCATGATACACTTAAAAAAAAACTATGCTCATAAAAATGATCCTTATGATCATTTTTTAAAAATTAAAGCAATTTGCAATATTCAGAGGGACAGTAGCTCCCTGCAGTAATAACGAACTTACATACAACATACTCACATCACATCAGATACATGCTATGTGATAACACGAGGGCTGACATCAAAACAAGTTGGGTGTCACTGAAACGACCCTTAAAACACACTGTTCCCAGGAGGATCCTCCCAGGATGGGAGAAGCATGCTGAAAGTAGACTATAGACCAAACGTGATTGCCACTCAATGTCTCTTTTGCAAACCACAACACCCAAAAGAAGAGAGAGAACAGAGGGGAATGCCCTGCCACAGAGACAGGGTGAGATGGGGGGGACGGGGTGGGGGTGGGAGGGATACTGGGATCCGTGGTGGTGGGAAACGGGCACTGGTGGAGGGATGGGTATTTGATCATTGTATAACTGAAACCCGAGCACAAAAATGTGTAAGTCTGCAACTGTACCTCAGGATGTCTCACTATTAAAAAAATTTTTAATAAAAAAAGGTAAAAAACAAACAAACAAACAAAAAAACCACTGTTCCCGAGGGAAAACAGACCCCCTTTGAATGTAGGTCTCAAGCTCCTCATGCCTCAGATTTTGAGAAGTGTCACTGTTACTTTCTGGAAAGTCTACATGGAGAACTCTGCCTTTCTCTGAATTTTAAACAGCCCCAGTAAACAGGAAGGGCATTACCAAGTTTCAGTGGTCAAGCTGGATGTGAATGAGAAAGAGGAACATATGTAACAAAGCAAAAAACCTCAATGGAAATCTAAGTAAGAACAAACTTCATCACAAGTCAAGACTCTTCTTAGGGGCCGGAGCGATAGTACAGCGGGAAGGGCGTTTTCTGTGCATGGAGCCGACCCGGGTTCAATCCCCAGCACCCCACGTGCTCCCCTGAGCACCGCCAGGAGTAATTCCTGGGTGTAGAGGCAGGAGTAGGCTCTGAGCATTGCTGGGTGTGACCCAAAAAGACAAAAAACAAAAATAAAACCTCATCTGAGAGAACCAGAGAGATAGTACGGGGGTTAAGATGCTTACCCTGCATGTGGACAACCCCAGTTCACTCCCTGGTGCAATTCCTGGTACCACATATCAACCCCCTAAGCTCGGAGTGATCTCTGAGCATAGGGCCAGGAGTAAGCCCTGATTAAGCGGTGCCGTGGGCTGAAGACCAAAACAAATAAAACTCATCTGAATCTGACATCCAGTCTTACCTCCTCTGGTTCTATCAGCTTGAACTCCATGCCTCGGCCTGTCCAGGCAATGAAGTGGGCGTTGGCTGGATCATCCAAGAGGGTAACCAGGAACTGCCACAGCTGCAGAGAACCTCTCCTCTGGTATGGGGGACCCTCCCGGTACATTGTTGGCTCTTGTTTTACTTTGCCTGTTGGGAACAAGATCCATGTGAGGAACAATTTAGAATTCAGTCTTACATTTCTCAAGTGATTTTGGGGGGAGGGAAGGGCAGTAAGTTGTTATGCCAATACTGACCAAGGTTATTGGATTCTTCCAACCCTCTAGCTGACCACAAAACCCTTGGGCAGGCGGGGTCGGGGTGGGGCTCACTTACCCTCTAGTCTCTCAGGAACAACACAGGTGTCATCAAAATACAACCGGGGATCTTTTTCATAGGGAAAACCTGAAGGGGGATTTAAAAAGAGAGAATGTGGCTTAGCAAATTCTATCTTTCACTGCAAGTCTGGATTTAAGGGCTGAAAGGGGATTCTAGCAATTCCGCTGCAAAGTCCCGTTCTCTGCTGGGTCTATGCAGACTCTGTCTGGGAGAGCGTCAAAGGGACTTAGGTGTTCATGTCTGGAAGCAATCGCCAGCCAGAGTTATATCTATCTCCCTCCGAGAGCTCAGACTGTCGGGAGGCACTAGGTCATCACTGAGTTCCTTCAAGTCTTGCCTTGAATGCTGTGGGGGCTGCAGTGACTAAGCCTGTCTATCTGAGAATACATCTCATCTTCTTCAGCAGACCTCGCTGGCTGGAAGTGGTGGTCTGTACACAGTTGCTATTTTCCTGTTAGCAAACATTGAATTTTAACTCTTCCTACAATTGGTTCCCAGCTTGCCCACTCCCCTGGTTTAATTATGCCAACAGCCTGGAGAGTTTAGAATATTGCCCAAGCCAGCAAGGACTTAGGTCTGTGCACGACTGCAATGAGCGATAATTTAAAAGTAAACGGAAGGCATTATCATCTGACCCAGTGGGAGGAATCTGACAAGACTTTCCAGCAATGAAATGAACTCATCGTATAGGTGATAAGACCCGAGATCCACAAAGGAGTGTGAGTGGCCCCACGACACATCCGAAGTGGGAAAGAAAGTAAAGCAAGATGGTAAAATGGGGTGAAGGAGAAGAAAGGGTGACCTGGCCCTGTCCAGAGCCACCCAGTGCCAAGACAAAGTCAGCCGCTCAAGTCAGGCGTGAAGGAGCCCACGACCGTCCATGTCTGGACTCTGGCAGGGGTATGAGCGCACGTGGATATGAGCATCTCCGACTGTGTGTCTCAGGAGAAAGCACCAGGAAACTGAGTGACCAGTGCTGCCCTGACTCTCAGCTCTCTGGCTGATTCAGAGGGCTGTATGGCAAGGGCGAGTGCGTTGAGCACGTGCAGGGGAAAAGGTGGGCAGGAAAGGGCGATCATTCGCGTATGGACAGGGTCTTCGGATTTAAGCGGCTAAGGAATGATGCGCTGATTTCTGTCTTTGCTCTTCGTCCTAAACAAGCAGCATTTTGGTGGTACAAGCATCTTCGGGTTTGTTCTGGGGCCACGCTCGGCTGTGCTCAGCCATCACCCCTGGCGGTACTCAGGGGACCAGGACCATAGGTGGTACTGGAGATCAAACCCGTATCAGCCAAGGGGAAGGCAGCACCTTCAGCCCAGGACTCACTTTCTCTCTCTCTCTCTCTCTCTCTCTCTCTCTCTCTCTCTCTCTCTCTCTCTCTCTCTCTCTCTCTCTCTCCAGCCCCAAGACAAGCATAACGTTAAAGAGGCCTGGGACTGGGGAAATATCGCTCAGCCCAGAGGAACATGAGGTGGTTTTGAGGTTTCGTTTTTCTTTTATCTACCCCAAGCATTAGTTCTCTATCGCATAACTACATCCAAGGGAAATCTTTTTTTTTTTATTGGTACTGATTTAAATTTAATCCAATACATATTTATGCCAGACACTGTGCTAAAAGGGTGTAGGTAACAAAAATAGACTTGGTCCCTGCTTTTAAGGAGAATGCATCCCAGCTAGTGAAGATAGACGGTATAAAGTAGGTCAAATAACGAACAAGACACGGAGCACCTTGTAACAGAGAGTGCAGCTCCAGAGCTGGAGTGATGGGCCCCCAAGCAGCTCTGGACCTTGAACAAGTTCATTAACCTCTCTGTGCTCCAGGTTCCTCCTCTAAAAAACTAGGGCGGTTAATTCCGACTTTGGAGGGTTACTACAAGAATTTCACATATTACTTCACTGGCCTATTATTTTTACAGTGAAGTGCCAGGAATAGCTCCTGGTACAATAAAAGAGAGTTTAAACGTGAAGTTAGTTACTGCACACTGTGTTTTTAAGTGCTTTTGAGAAATTAACTGGAACAGTCCAGTTAATTTCTTAAGAAGAACTATCAAAGTACTCAATGGGTTTAAGTGTGTACTTTGCATGCTGGAGGCCCAGAATCAATCCTCAGCACTGCACAGTCCCAGAGCACCACAAATAAAAAATAAAAATAAAATGAGGAATTTAATGGATAACATGAGACCTTTATAGTTTTTATCATGAATTTCAAATTCCTTGAGAATAAGACCCATGCCCTGAAAAACCTTAATATCCTTATAACATTTGATGTATAATAAATGCTCAGTATTTATTTTAATATGAAGAATCCAATACCCAAGAGATATTACACTGGGTACGGTTCTTGCTTTGCTTGTGGCTGACCCAGGTTTGATCCTGGCATCACAATATGGTTTCCTGAGCACAGCCAGGAATGAGCACAGAGCACAGAGCCAGGAGGAATAAACCCTGAGCACTGTCAGGTACAGCCTCCACCCAAACAAAATAAAACCCAAAACATGAAGAACCCAATGTTAATTTTTCAGTCAGGGATTCAGTGACTCCTGTGATAAATGGGTTCCAATTTGTTATTAAGAAATTTTAATTTTAGGGACTGGAGCAATACCACAGCAGGTAGGACGTTTGCCTTGCATGCGGCCGACCCGGATTCGATTCCCAGCATCCCATATGGTCCCCTGAGCACCGCCAGGGGTAATTCCTGAGTGCAGAGCCAGGAGTAACCCCTGTGCATTGCCAGGTGTGACCCAAAAAGCAAAAAAAAAAAAAAAGGAAATTTTAATGACAAATTGTTATATTTTATTATCATTAAGAATTCATGAGTCCACTAGGCTTTATGCTTTTGGCTCTGGCCAGCAGGAAACAGTTCATGTTCTGACTTACCATATGGATTTGGATAATCTAATGTTGTTTTACTTTTATTGTAAGGTCATTAAAAGGGAACTACCTCAGAATTATATACCTGTCCAACTTGCTATGTTCATTTTAGAGTTTTTCTAAGCTCAAGATAAGACATAGTACATAAGGAAAAACCGTGGAAACCTAAATTACACTTGAATTTTAGCTTTCTGAGTCATCAGAGGAAGGGCTGGCTGTGAGTATCGTTCTGGTGTATCTTGTGGTTTCTCGTCATTACCACATGTGGTTCTCTGAAACATCTGGAAGATGCTGTGGGCTTAAGTGAGATTTAAGTCAGTTTGAATCTGCACCAGGAGTTTCATCGGTTGCAGCCACAACCAGCTAATCCCTCACAGAAAGGTGGCAGGAAGGAAGAACCTGTCTGAGGAGCAACGTAGGAAATGAAGGATTCGGAACAGTGTGCAAAGATTCCAAGGCACGAGGCAGGACGGCTGTCCTGGTAATCACAGATGCCAATCAGATATGTTTGTCTTACTGTTTCACCGGCATCTGTGGTCAAGCCTTACAAGGATAGAAAAACTGTGTCAGGGTAATTGGCAGCAATTACGCATGCTGGTCTATTTGAAATGAAAATTCTCTGGGGTGTGCGGGGTCAGAGAGAGGGATGGGAAGGAGTTGGTCTGGGGGGCGGAAATCATGCAAACCTGCCAGATATGTGTGTAGTAAGCAGGCCTGCGCCTGACTACAAATATTTCCCTTAGGAGTGTGTTCCTTTCCCAAATGTTGTGATTATGCAAAAACGTTTGTGTCTTCCTCTCTTTCCCCTCTCCCTCCTCGTTTGCAGGCTGCAGGCATCAATGGCTGCCTGGAAACACTGGAGGTCCTGGAAGCCAGCCCCACACAGCTGTGCAGGCTGATCTGAGGTCCAGTAGACAGCTTTCACCCCCAGGGCTAGACTCGCTGAGACGTCACCAGTGCACAGTCCAGAGAGCACGTGGTCAACTGCAACTCAGGGAGGGGGGTCGCAGCTGACAGAGAAACCACTCCTAGAAGAAGTGGTGGGTGAAAACCATTCGATGCTTCAGAGTGTTCTTGGCACTGTCCTCTAAAGCTCTCGAGAACAGGGGCCGACAACTGTAGATGAACACTGGAATCACCTGGGCAGGCTTGAAAACTAAAGTCGGGGTCCCATCCCCAAACTGCTGATTTAAAAGCAGTTTGGGAGAAGCGGGACACCAGAAACCCTAAAAGCCAACCCTGGGGCTGGAGCGATAGCACAGCGGATAAGGCTTGCACACGGCCAACCCGGGTTCGATTCCCAGCATCCCATATGTCCCCTAAGCACCGCCAGGAGTGATTCCTAAGTGCAGAACCAGGACAGGAGTAACCCCTGAGCATCTCCAGTTGTGACACACACAACACAAAAAAGCTACCCCTAGGGGCTGAAGATGTGACCCAGGGGTAGCACTGTAGCACTGTCCTCCGGTTGTTCATCAATTTGCTCAAGCGGGCCCAGTAACGTCTCCATTGTGAGACTTGTTGTTACTGTGTTTGGTGTACCAAATACTTCATGGGTAGCTTGCCAGGCTTTGCCATGCGGGCGAGATACTCTCGGTAGCTTGCCGGGCTCTCTGAGAGGGGTGGAAGAATTGAACCTGGGTTGGCCGGGTGGGCTGCATGCCACTGTGCTATCGCTCCAGCCCAACTCAGTGGTAAGTGCATGTTTTATGGGGAGGAGATCTAGGCTTGAACCCCACCACCAAAATTCAAAAGCTCTTCAGGTGGGACCAAGAGTAGGCTTAGCTGAGAATCACTAGCTGAGAATGCTGGGATCTCCCAGAGGGCTTGTTAAAACACATTGCTGGGCACCACCCCTGGAGTTTCTGGTTCAGCAGATCTAAATTGGATGAGAAAAGTCTGCATTTTGAACGTCACAAATAAGGCTGCCACCAGGTGTTTGGACACTAGCCTACCTTTAGATATTTATATGCTCCCCCACCCTCCATATATACAGGGAACCTGCTCTAAGAAAAAAAAATCCTCCCTCTTTCAGTGCTCAAATGGGAAGTCTTTTGGAGCAGGGGGTGGTGGGGGGTTGGGGCCATACCCAGCGGTACTCAGGACTCACTCCTGGCTCTGTGCTCAGAGATGGCTCCCGGAGGGGTCGGGCGGAGGGGCCATGTGTGGTGTGTGGTGTCAGGGATCAAACCTGGGTTGGCAGAGTATAAGCCACTGTATTACTGCTCTTGCCCCAAAAGCTCTTTAATCTAGCATCTCAATCTGCAAGTTCTTAAGTGCTAGCTTAGGCTGACTAGTGTCAAAATGTAGCGATGGAAAAGTCCAAGTCAAGTTGGTTCATTCTTCTTTATATTATCCCATGAAGCTTAAAAGGTAGAGTCACTGCTACTGAAAATGACTCTAGCCCTCAGAGTGTTCAAAAGGGTGCCTGCTGTGTGCAAAATGTTAATTAGCCTTGAGCTAAGGAAGGTTTAACCTATGATCTCAAATTCTAGCCTGGGAATTGAATGATTTCCAAATCCCTTGAATATTATTAAGAGAGAGAGATAGAGAAAAGAAAGGGGGGGGGTGAGGAATGGAAAAAGGAAGAAGTAGAGGGGAGAAGGAAAATATTTACCTTCATGGCTGCTGGAGAAATACCCTCCTCTCATGTAGGACGACTGGCAGTTAGGCACTTCTGAAAGACAAGCACAGACACACACGCCCTCATGAGCAGTTTCTGTAGTTGACGTGGCACATCGCTTGAGCTGCCCCTCTGCAGCAAAGCCCCTAAACCTTTCTGGCTTCAAGGTCAAGTCCTTTTGGTCTTATCCTGGAGAAGAGGGTACCATCCCTATGGGCAACATAAGACAGTAGAACTTCTGGCTCCCAGTTAAGATCATGGGAGGAAAACATGATCCCTCACTCCTGTAACTTGCTCAATTTTAGGAATCATTTAACACCGAATCTGGGGAGAGTTAATAACAGAAAAAGAAACTGGCTTTCAAAAAAGTCAAGCTTGGCCTTCTGCCTGTACTGACTCAGGGGTGTTGGGGCTTGGATCGGAAGAAGGATCACTTTCCATCTTTCTCAATTTATTCTCCTTCACAGAGGTTGGTCACATCCAATTCTGCTCCAAGAGGCGGGAGTATTTTTAGGTTAAAGAGATTAGGGGATTTAAAGTTATTAATCTAGAAGAAGAACTGGCAGAGTTGGGGGGACTAAAGTTTGGCAAATACATTATTACCATGTTGGAATGTTAAACTGAAACCCATACTCAAGCGACTTCAACCATTCACTGTTCAGGTGTTCATTCAGAGGGAAGACAGATTGAGTTGTCCATAGTGGGAAGGATACTTTGCCCCATGACCACTGCTCAGATCACAGATATGATTAAAAAAAAATCTTCTGGGTGCCTGTTTCTAAGGGAATAGGGTGGGGGGGGCACTAATACACCAGGACAGATTAAAATGTCAATCCCAGTGGAATAATGTTGCTGGTCATCCCTATGTCTGAGAAAAATACATCAATTCCTTCAGGAGGAACGTCAGTGGCAATTTTTGGGCTATCAATATCTGTCACTTGGGGAATCTGTCCATTTTTAAACAAGAGATTTCTGCCTTCTGCCAACCTTCAGCCCTTTTCATAACTAATTTCTGCCTGAACTGAGCAATCTATCTGACAGAAGGCCAAAAGCAAATTCTGTGTTCTATTTTCAAAAGTACTGAATTTCATAATTCCTCTACCCATCATGGAAGTACCAAGGGAGAGGCTAAAAACCTCGCCTTACCATGTCTTTAATATCCACAGCAAAGAAGGGGTGAAGAAGTTTGTCAATTTAGGAAAAGGGGATGAAAGATGGAATTTTTCAATATGCAAGCTGCAAAATTTCGAGTTTCCCCTAATAATCTTGTTTAATAAGGCTGGTTCGTAAGATTTGGGGTGAGTGTGTGAGGGTCTTGGGAGGATCCCCAAAGTTCTGATTAAACTTCTTGGTATATTTAAGAATCTAGACAAAGTAACATGGGACGCAAACAACAGGCACCCAGACATGTATGGACCTCTCCCTGTGTCTGCCACAGATGACAATGGACACAGGAAATTTATCAAATGAAAACACTGCTACAGAACTGGAATCTCACAAAGCCCCCAACAAGCAGCCCGACTATGGCCACCCAGCACCTGACACAGACGTGACATACCAGGTGCTTGCACCATGCAACTGAAAAACAGAAGGAAGCTCTTCTCTCTTCCTTATACCCGTATGAGGAGTTTAATGGATCTGCTGCAATTAAAAACAAAGTCACAGAAGCAGTGGTAGGGCTGAAATGTATGGATAATATCACATCTGTCCAGAAGGACAAGAAGTCTGGCCAAGGGCATCCGTAACACTGGATTGCAGCAAGCTCCAGGCTTGTTCCTGAAGGTGCGCCCTGCCCCTTGTCACAATGCCTAACGTTCCTGCCATTTTCATCAACTTTGCCATTTTGTGGCGTACTTTCTGCATTGCTAGCTCCTATGCACTTTGAAGGGAACTTCTGTGAAAGTATTCCCCAAAGTCCTACACACAGAAACACACAAGAATCAGACAAGGTGGAAGGAAGAACAAAGGGCATGATGTCCACGCTAACCTGAATCAACGCAGTAGTCTCGAGGCTCCTGCTTGATTCCCATTGGTGACTGGAATCCATGCGCTGGGGGGCCGGGCATGCCTGGGACCCCGTGTTCATAGAGTGGGTCGTGGTACTCTTGTTTGAATCCCTGAGGGGGTGGGGGGGCTGCAGGGACAATGGGCTCTGACATTTGCCGGTGGTAATTGGGGCGATTATCTCCAGGAACTCCTGACTGAGCAGGGAAGGGGTGGCAGGGTTCAGACAGCTGTCTCTGAAATCTGTGAGAGGAAAGAAGGTACACTGTTTAGCGAAGAACGTGATAAATACCGACTAGAATTAAGTACTGAGGGTTAGGAGTTGAGGTTAAGGGAGTTATTTGCAAAGTACTTATTAATGCTTATTTCTGGCTATTTTACCCTCGTCCTGAAATTATATTGCACATTTCAACCTCCTGAGTAAAGGAGTGGCAAAAGACACCCAGAGCAATAGCATGGTAACCTTGTATTTTCTAGGAATGTTTATTGCACGCACAGTCTATATGTATCATTGGGTCAATCATGTATCACAAGTAGTAGTGATATATATCTATATATCTATGAGCGATATATATGTGATGTGGTTGTGTGTGTGTGTGTGTGTGTGTGTGTGTGTGTAGATATTAACTAATTTATTTTTCTCACCTGTACTTTTTTTCCTTTTGGGTTACACCCAGATGTGTTCAGGACTTACTCCTGGCAGGGCGTAGGGGAACATAAATGGTACTGGGATTCAAACTCTGGTCAGTAGAATGTAAGTTAAGTGACCTCCTGGTGAAGTCCTTACTTTTATAGACTAAAGGGTATGCATAAATCAGAAAATCTACTAAGAAAATCCCATATATGATAGCAGTAAAGCCCCAAAGTCTTAATAATCAAGTAATGTGAAGGTCATACAAAAACAAAATCCTAGAACTATTTTCTAAGGAAAAGGAAGATCTAATTAAAGAGAAAGTATTTAGGACTTGGTAGCCGTGCTGCTTTATTTTCTATGAAAGTAGTATCTTTCCAACCAATGAGGCAAATAATTCTTAGTTTTATTTAAAATATTGAATTTGGGCCCTGGAGTACAGTGAGAGAGGTCCTTGCCTTGCACACAGCCAACTTGGGTTTGATCGTTGACATTGCATATGATCCCGAGCACAGAGCCTGCAAGTAAGCTCTGAGCACAGCTGGGTTTGATTAAAAAATACACACACAAAAGATTTTATCTTGACAAGAAATGATCTATTAAATATAGGCAAATATTTAAAGCTCCAACAGTCAATGTAGTAATACAGAGAATGAAAGATAGACATAGCAAACTAATTAAACAGGAAGGCAAGGTACTAGAGAGATACTACAGGGGTTAAAGCGTGAATGTCTTGTACACATAAACATGAATTTGGCCCCAGGTACTGCATATGGTACCCCAAGGCTCACCTGGAGTAATCCTGAGCACAGAGCTTGGGGTAAGCCCTAAACTATGGAAGGTGTGGCCAAAAAAAAAGAAGAAGAAAGAAAACAACTCCAAACAAACCAGAAATCAAAACTATACAAAAAAGGCAGGCAAAATCTAATGTGTATTCTTGAGAAAAGTTACTTATTCAATAGTTGGCATTCCAATATAATGGGGGGAATTATAACAGAGGCCAAAATTAATTTCATCTGGATCAAAAATTCCAATGCAATATTGAGGTGGGAAATATATGTATAAACTTGTACAATACTGCAATTAGAGAAAAATAAGTTTTTCCACACATCATTCCGGCAGCAAAAACCATGACAATAAATAGGAATATGCTTCATGGTGTAAATTTCTGTAAGTCAAAAGAAAATCAGAACAAAACCCAAAAGGAAAAATTATCTAACAGTCAGAAAAAAACAAAACTAAAGCAAAGTGGAGAAAAATCTCTAGTTTATACAGCAATAATAGTACTGTCGGCAAAGAGCTTTCAAAAAATCAGTAAGATGAATACTCCAATAGAAACAATGGGAAAGAATATTAAGTAAAATAGTCACCAATAAAGAGATACTAATTGTTATAGTTTACCTTCACTAGTAATTAAAACACAAGAACTAAGAGAAGTTGTTTTTCCTGATTAATTGGAGGAGGAGCAAGATCCTAATAATTCTAGCATATAGAAAGAAATCCTAGTTAAGATAGTTACAAAGAAGCTCCCCATTTTAAATGTCCAACAAGACCAGCTAAGTACATTGTAATGGAGCCATTAAATTAGAACCAAGTATCAAATAATACACAAACATTTAAGAACCCAGGAAGATATCTGTTTTTATAGAATAGGCATGTTGTGAAACAGCACAAAAATTGTTCTTTTTTGCAAAAATCAGAAAAGATGGTCACATAAAATCTTCGAAAGCTATAAACTAAATGGCATTAAAAATATTAGGGCAGGGGCTGGAGCAATAGTACAGCGGGTAGGGCATTTGCCTTGTACGCGGCCGACCCAGGTTCAACTCCCAGCATCCCATATGGTCCCCTGAGCATGGCCAGGGTTAATTCCTGAGTGCAGAGCCAGGAGTAACCCCTGTGCATCTCTGGGCGTGACCCAAAAAGCAAAAAATAAAAAATAAAAATATTAGGGCAAATTTGATGTTAGGTGAATTTGGTGTTATTTACTCATCTATGGCTTGGTAATTAATCATACTATTTGATAAGCTCAAACAAATCCTTTTTTGGTTATTTATCGGTGACAATCATTAACATCCTTGAGCTGCCAGAGGAATCCAGTTATGTGTAAGTACCTTTGGTGTGCCGGGAGGGCTTTACATAGGACCTTCAAAGGGAGCCTCCACAGGGCACACCTGAGATCCTCAATGATGAAAGCAAATTTTCTTGACTACTGTTTCCTCATCTGTATCATGGAGATGTCTATCCACCAGGTTAGTTGAATAATAAAACCCAATCGGATCTACCAAGCATGTCTTCTGCTTTGGCTGTCACCTCGGGGCCTACCTTCAGAAATGTAGGGGTGAAGCTGGGAACCCTGAATGTGAGACCTCATTATGAAATATGCAGAAGATACTCATCTGTACACAGAATACTCATCTGTACACTCATCTCTACACAGAAATGTACACCAAAATGTGTACACAGAAATCTGTACTCATCTGTACACATTTGTGAATACATGCCCCCTTGTAGAAAGTAGAAGCCAACAATCAGAGAAGGATCCAGAACTACATATTTCAGTGAGTTTTTACAAATCAACGATACATTCCTGTAACATCAAGGTCTTACTGCCCCTTCTAGCTTGAATCCTATTCATAGCTCTATCAAGTAATCTGAATTTAATCTGACTTGACCTGTGTCAACAGGTGGCCAACAAATTTCTAGAAAATCAAGACGTCAAATCTTGGACAGAAAAGATTTGAGTGCAGATAACACTGTTTAAATCAGGGGCTGGCCTGATCCTGTGTCTGTAACTGCCTTAGCAGCACCAGGAGATCATTTTATGTCATAAAGATGACTTGAGAAGTTTTCATGAGGCTCTCCTATCCCAGAGCAGCAGAATCTTATAAAGCAGCCAAGTTTCCTTAGGATGCTGAATGCATTACAGGAAACTTCACCACAAAAAGACATTTTCAAGGTCGCTGTTATTTAGGAAAATCCTTCAATGATTTTTGAAGAAGTGCACATTTGAAGTTTGGGTTTAAGCTTGACATTTAAAGTGCAGGTACCAGATTTGTTTTTCATGGGTTTTTTTTGGGGGGGGGGAATGAGAAGAAGCGTTTGAGTTTCTTTTTCCAAAGAGAGTTAATTTTTATTGTAGATTTAGGTAACATGGTCACTATGGTGTTAATGTTTATGGCTCGGATACTGCACCTTCACCACCATTAAATGCATCAAGACCCTCTATCACTTCCTTGGGTCACTTCTAGTCTCTCTCTTCCTTTCCCTCAACCTGAATTTTTGAAGAAAATGCTGAAAAGGTGGGCAGGAAAGAAAGATGGACCTACTATCACAGCCTTATGCTGGTCAAGTACCCAAACCTTCTATGCAAGCAGTAAGAGACAGTCACAAGGACACCTCACCTTCATGTTCTCCTTTCCCCTCAGTGTCTATCTCAGCCCCTTTAAAGGTGATCTCCAGTCGGTTCCTTTGATGGCTCCATGATGGCCATGAGCCACCAGCTCTGTAACCAGAGTCCCTGCAGCTGGCGGACCCAATCATTCCGCTTCCGCTCATCTCGCCTTCCAGAATCAAACTCGAGTCGGCCTGGGACAACCTCCTCTGGAAAGGTCTTTCCATATGGGCCCCCGTCAACAGCCCCCACTCCATCCCCGTAATGGAAAGTTAAGGTCCCAAAGCTGAGAAGACCCCGGATCTGCAGAACACCCTAAAAACTAGGACCATTCGGTCATGGTTTGTTTTGAAGGCCCATAATGGGAGGAGCTGAGTCTAAGGGAAGGCCACAAAACCAACATATTTGGAAGATACTCTAAGAGCCTGCTCCCAAGACTGGCTTTTATTTGCAGAGATTAGTAAAGTAATTCAGTTCTTATCTTCCCCAACATGTTCTGTGAACTTTACTCATTCACCTTCATTTGAACCCTGTCCCCCTTTCTATAAGCCTTTTGAAGTATCTAAGGACATGCTGTATACATAATACAGCGATGACAAAGACCTTTGTTTACAGAGGTGGGCAATCATTCCCAACGGAGAAGCTTAGTTCCTAATCTGGCCCCACCCCCTCGACTCCCTCCACCTCCACCCATTAGTTACCCCAACAGAACCTGGGCCTAGTGAGCTCACAGTTGGGGTGCAAAAGGAGACTTCTGACTACTGAGTCTAAATTCAATAGGTTACAGATTTAGGCTTTCTCCGTGCCAGTTTATTTAAAGAATCCAGTTATTTATTTATTTGTCAGATTTATATAGCGCCTCTCCTCCCAAGAGCTCACCCACGCTACTAACATTTGGTTTACGTTATGAAAACCGTTAGATGCTTTTTCTGCATTTCCTTTTTGGTTTCTGCTGCCAACACACAGAGTAAACACAATGTGTGTGTGGGGGGAGGGGGGGAGAAAAAGTGTGGATTGGACAAAAGCTACGCAGTGGCTCTGGATGCCAGGTGTCAGACCAGTGCAGAGGCCAGCTTGGAGGTGAAGATACAGCAAGCTGGCCCAGAAATCAATAATACATACTTAACATTTCTGTGAAGTCTAAGAGAAGACAGAAACTAGAGAAGCAGCAGGGCTGGGTAAGAGGCCTGGCTGTGAAGTCAGAACATCCTGGGCTGA